ATCACTTGGAAGATTTAGATGGCACCAAGCACGTGAGATTCATTAACGACAAATATTTAAAAAAAATATGTTCCTTCTTTATGGGAATGTGAGCAGATAAAAGTATAATCAAAATATGTTGAACGATTAAGGATAACAAGGTCAGAGCGAAATACGTTCAAATAAAGTCCTTTATTATCAAACGTTCATTACAAAGATGCGAAAATACAAATAATGGATGTTCTATAAACTACAATCAAAAGTAAGCTAATCTTCCAGTTGATCGCTGAGTAAGAGGGTGGACTAGCCTCACACCGCCCTCCTAAATGCATCGCTGCAATGATGGGATCGCAGAGTAAGAGGGTGGACTGGCCTCACCACTTTCCTAAATGCATCGTTGCAATGGAGGGCAAAGAGGCTGAGAAGCATTCTCAGCAAGCAAACTGAGAAGCACTCTCAGCAAGCAATGTGGCCCGCAAGCATCCCAAAAATTGCCTTCTATCATCGACTCCTTGTAAAGGACAAAGAAACGATGGGAAGAATTTCGATGGTAAAAACTTTACTGCTGGCCAAAAAATATTTCCTATACCTCCCACACCAAAGGTGACATCAAGGTAAATAGTAAAATGGACGGACTAAACAACCCATTTTTATAGAAAGACGAAGGTTTCGGATCGGATTGATTGTCAGAGTGCCAAACAATGGCAGCAAATTGATTTCGAAGAAGAAAATGAAGATGAAGATGGAAAATGGAAAATGCGAAGCATCCATGCATTTATAGGAGGGTGGAGATGAAGAGACATAATATGAGCAGCCACATTTTGCCTAGTAAATGGAATTAAATAGCCCAAAGTCTTAGGAAAAGTGGTGAAAATATCAAAAGAAAATGGGCAAGATTTTTAGCACAAAGCAGTTAAATGTTTGAAGAATTGACGACTAAAAAACAAACGTCAAATAAATACACAAGAAGTTAATATGTATGTTCATTAATAATGAACAAAGTAACAAAGGAAAAATCAAATTACAAAAGAAAAAGGCATCATAAGTCTTAATTACAGTCCACCCCACACTAAACGAATTCGTTCCCTAAGTTTTGCCCAATCCTTGTTCTGCCGAGAGGAAGTGATGTTCAATTCAGCCACGACATCATCATCAACTTCCAACTTCTTGTACTGCTCAACCAAGGACTTAGTTCGCTCAATTCCTTGGGAGGCGTTGCGCTTTTTAGCAGCCATTCTCACCTTGCAGTCGTCCATTTTCGCTTGAAGTTCCTTCATCTGAGCAGCCAAATTAACCATCAAAGAGTCTTCAATCATGACTTCGGAAGAGATTTCTTTCAACTCGTCCTCAGCCTTGTTGATCTCCATACGCAAAGACTCTTTTTCGGATACGGCTCGAAGATATTGAGTACTTTTGGCCTTTAGTTCAGCATTCTTGGCCAGCAAAGAAAGGACCTCGGAGTGGATAACCTTCAACGGCGCTTTAAAGTCGGCAGAAAGATTGAGCGACGGAAGCGTCAGTGCTTGCTCCAACTTCGCATTCAAATGCTCAAGTTTATCCTTGTGTCTGGCAGCACTAGCCCTACCAATGTCCATATCCATGAAGGACACGTACACAAATATCGACTGCTTGAGGAACTTCAAATCTTCCTCTGAAGAAGCAGTAGGACAATCAGATGGAGCAGAGCAAGACGTCTTGACTTGCCCCCAGGAAGCGAACAAGTCTTGGATAGAACGCACAATCTTGTCAGCATCCTGCAAAGAAAATTGCCAATATTAAAGATTCTCACTACAACGAACAAGATAGAAATAAAAGTGAAGCAAAGATTACCTCATCAACAATCGTGGAAGATGGCATGTCCTCAGCCAAGTCTGCCACCAATGACTCCTCCATTCGTGAGGACTTCTCCTTGTCTGAGCGAGAAGATGTTGCCACAACGGGCAGACTCATAGGAGTATCTGCAAAACTCAAGAGCAACAAATCAGAAACCAATAGCACAAGCAAAGGTAAGGCATCAAAAAACTGAATTACCTTCTGCTTCGATGTTTGGGGGGTTGACGCCTTGGGAAGAAGGTGGCTCATCCATGGGTTGTGATGAGGATTCTGGGACTGAAGATGTCTCTTTAAGCGCAGTTCCCTCATCAACCAGTTTGGATGAAGCAGCCTCAGTGGAGGATGATGGAGCAGGAGCTGTCGATGCCAAAGCCTTTGAAGGAAAGGCTGAACTTTTCTGAGAAATCCAAAAAATCATCAGCACACAGAAAAGTTTCAAGTATGGAAAAGTATGCTTGTGAGTAAACCAATTTAATTACCTTCCTCCTGACGATAAGAGGGGTATCATCATCATCATCCTCCAGAATGGGAGATGCTGATGGGAGATGCTGAGGCTGACCGTTTGTGGATTGGGGCACTCTTGGCTGTAGTAGGCTTGGCAGGGAGAGAAGAAGATGGACGAGCAGACTGTTTAGCGCGACGAGGAGGAGAAGGACTCCGGATGGATAAAGGAGTGACTAAAACAGGAGGAGGGGAAGAAATGCTCGGCTGGTCTAGTGAATGAAAGGCACGATTGGCATCAGTCGCAAATAATCTGCACTTCACTGACGGCCAGAGCTGTTCAAAAAGAGGATGGATGACGTGGCTAGAATTGAAGGGGGCTAATGAAAAATAGCTGGTTAAAAGAAGATTGCGAGCATTTATAGCCTCTGCCTCCGCCTTATTAATAATATGAAAACGGTCAATTAAGTTCCTTGAATAGCAAGGAGGAACAAGCCAAGTTTGGCCGAAACCAAGCTGGCGAGCAAAAAATTGGGGAGCATAAATTTCTACCCCTGCCTTGGAATTGGTCCCAGTTAAAATATCATGAAATAGCTCCCTCCCGGTGAAAAACTGGATCCAAATGAGCAGGGAGGTGCTCGCGCTGTCTATGGTGGAGGGGGGATGTACATAGTCTGGAGTCAAAAAAGGAAGAGATTGAATCTAAAGAATAAAAAAATGAAAAGATGTCCCTTCTGGACATATTTACAAGAGCCAAGGGCTCCATGACTAGCCCATAACAGCTAGCAGAGGAGCGAGAAATTGATGGAGCACCAAGCAATGGAAAAAAGGATCTCAACCACAGTTGAGTGAACCAAAGAGGTCCACTACCAGTGGGAGATGCACCATTCTTCAATTGAGTTTGAAGAGAGGCCATGCCTCTATAAAGGGCAGCCAAAAAGAAAGAACATAAATTCAAAGGCCTGCCACGCGCTAATTCATGCGCTGTGGGTAAATAACTCAGGGAGGGCTTTATGTTTGGCACACACAAAACATATTTACAAAGTCAAACTAGAAGAAAAGTCACTCGCTCAGTATGGGAAGGCTCAGCGCTTGAATGATTGTGAATGGTTTGCAGGCTTGAATAAGACTCCGTGTAGTTTCTACCAAACTTTGGGGCGCTACCAGAAACCAAGATACCAGGAAAAATGATATCACCCAAAGGCGGTAGATTCACTAGGGCCCCAACATCCCTTAAAGTAATAGACATGGGGCCAAGAGGGAAAATAAAGGTATTATACTCAGAAGACCAAAAACTCAAAGCAATCGAAAAAAGTGCTGAATCAAAAGTAGGGGGGCGAATAGAGATTTCTAACAAATCAGAAATTCTAGCATTATCAAAAAGTGCCTTAGTAGGACCATGGCCCACAAGACGAGCATGCTACCTACGGAAAGCTACATCAGATTTAGGCCAAGTGCGAATACCTCTTTCGCGAAGTGGCCCCATCGGCAGAGAGTTTAGAAATAGAGGGTCTTGAGTACAAGGAAACAGCTGATCCACCGCTGCCTGTTCAACTGCCTCTGCATTGTTGAAGAAGGGACCTAAGTAGAACTCATTGCGTTCGACATCGGCGGGCGCGAGGAAACTCGGAGTTATGTATGGACGACTCAGAAGTTTCTGAAAGTCATCAAAACTAAAGGAGTCGCCAGCTTGAGATTGTGAAGTCGCCATTTGAGATGGAACGAAGTTTTTCAGAGTTACGTAGCAAGGAAGCAAAAGATGAACAGTAAATCGTGGGAGAGACGCGAAAAATTTGAGGCGTAATTTAATGGTGCAGTGAAATGGCGTGTTTGGGGGTTATAAGGGTTTGCAAAACGACGCACCTTTTCAAGTTATGGAAGAAAACAATGATTGAAATTCTTGGAAATCTCGAATGTTGTTGGAAACACAAAGTGAATATGGCAAAATTTAATAATTATTATTAATTCTGCGATATTGGGGGGTAATTGTTGACACATAAAAATTCAGCCCAAATCGAACGGCCCAAGGAATGAAGTCCAATTGGAGGATCTCCAAATCAGATAGCCCAAAGAACGAAGCCCAATCAAACAATTCAAGATGAAGGCCCAAATAGGGAGGCCCAAGAACGCGGTAACGCTATCGTCCAAGTTTGCAAGTCGCCCAGAATCTGAGCGAATGGAGTGCCATGCAGTCGCCCAGAGCTGTTACTCTATTCTCGCCCAAACCTTCAAGTCGCCCAAAGTCTTAACAAACATAAAGCGTTGTGGTTATCAAGAAGTGCAGTTATTAAAGCAGCCCTATCACGTTCCACGATTCAAGGAATTCAATCGAAAACGGTTGAACGACGAAGAGTAGTGGCAGCAGTTAAAAAAGGCAGTTTTCATGACAAGCTGGTCATTATAAAGAAAGTGGGCAGTTGCAGAACGATCAAGCAGTTTGTAGGCGGTTGATCACAAAAAAGATCATCCATGGAGTATAAAAGGGAGAAAAGACATAGAGCAAAGGACCGAATCAAAAACTCTCGAATAGAGAACATGTAATTTTAATTTCCTTAACTTAGACTTAAACATTTTTTTCAGTAACTCGTGTGCTTGCGCCCCTTGGAGGCATTCTGTTTTTAATTTCCAATTGTAAAGTCATCGCCAATAAAAGAACACCCATTTTTAGGACTTTGTCTCAAGAGGTTTGTCCCTTACACAATCGTCTGATCCATTTTAATTGTTGGCGACTAACCCGCGCGAAATAGTTTCCCTGTCGAGTGTGAAGGCTTCTTCCTCTTAGGAACCGAGGCTTTAGTGAAAAGGGCTAAAGAAACACTGAACAACCTCGTATCATTCGTCAATGGCGATAAAATCCCTTTTCTTACACTCCAGGCCGAGGCTGTAGCCTGAAGGCCATCCACACATGTCTGACTGTTTGTCAAAATGCTGCTAAGAAGTGTCTGAACTTCGTCAGCCTCGAAAACCGAAAGAGTTTTCGATGAAGTTCCATTGACAATAACAAAAGAACTCATTAGATAATCAATGTTAAGCTCGGCTAGAAACTTGCAGTCGTCTAGAGCCCTCACGGCTGTTATTGTCAAATTTCTCGACCCCCGTAGATACTTGTTAATCAACGAAAGGAATTTTCGGGCTGCGGATAAGGATTTTTGTACAGAAAACAGGCTGTGATCGTACGCATTGGATGAGGAATTTGAGTTTGGAACGAGCATTGATTTACAGAATCCAGGATAAGGGGTGGATTTGCATATGATTGAAGGGGGGATAGGATTTGCTGGCGAAACATTATCTGCTGAAGAATGAGTAGATAACGTTAGAATTGCTAAAATAATGCAAGAAATGATTAATGGAGAGGAAAACAGCTTATTTTTCATCATTTTAACGTGAAAAAAATGAATTGCTGAATTATATATGTAAAATTTGTTCTTGTATATTGTATAGACACACATGTATATATAGATGAGAGGAATGGAGTTTAATGTACTTGAAGCATAAATGCGTGTAAGAAGTTGTATTTAATATGTAAATTCATCTTGCATGGCATTTCCAAAACGCGTAGATCTCGATTGAAACTTCAAGCCAATATTTGGCGATGGACACAGGGAATACTGAATACGAACTTGTTTTGTCTTCAAGTTATTTTATATTGCTACTTATTTTGATACCTTGTGAACTCTCTGTGTAATTTAATCAATGACTTGACTATAGTATAATTACTCATTCATACTGCACAAGATACCTATGACTATGTACATGAATGTATTGACGAGGGATGTGATGTTCTCACAAGACGCTATACACCGATGTCGCCTTACTCCGAGGTCATAAAGTTTTGTGTTTTCTGCTTTATTTCTTTAAATTATTAATAATTACTCCATCCAATTAGTGGTTTAATTCTGAGTAGCTTGGGTTGTTTGATGACTCCAATGATTCAAATTGATTTATGGAGTAGGAGATTGTTGTGATCACATGTTTACGATTCTTGGGAAGACTCATATTAAACCCAACATTGATATTGGAGTCTCTCATCGAGTATTACACAACATTGAGATTAGAGTCTCTTCCCACATCGAGTATTCGTATAGTGATATGTTATTCCTGTTAGTAATGTTGACCTTTAAGATGGTATTCAAATCTTATTATCGTTTTGACCCGAAAGAGCCCAAGTCACTACACATCAGCAAAGACAACGTAAAATGTGTACACTTTTTTTTTAATCGGTAAATGTGTAATACATTAATCAAAAACATGTACAGATACATCGGACATACCTTGGCAATCAAAAATCAAATGCATATACAAGTATACTGAGTATACTCGGGCAACCAAAGATCAAGTACATATACAATTACACCGGACATACCCGAGCAAACAAGAAGAACATGTGTGTAAACAAAAAGATCTAGCAATCTAACGCCATAGACTCAAAAGGAATTAAAACATATGGATACAAAAAGAACATAACTTTGTATACATGCGATTTTATTCGTCTAACAATGCTATCAGCCAGCAGAGTAAGGTCCTCAAAGATCTTCTTGTTTTGAGCCGTTCATAAATGTTAAACAATGCTAGCAAGAGCAATCTTTTTAGCTTTACTATGTCAAGCCGTCCCGAGCCTCCTTTTTAATCTACTTTAATGCACTAGGGATAATAGACATAAAGCGTCTAATGCCAAGCCATGCACGGATCTTCTCCCACTGTCTTCTTTGTATTTCGCTGTTCATTTAAGGATGTTGCTATTCACGACAAATTCTGACATGATTATCTACCATGTAACACGCCAATAGTTATTGATAGGAAAGGATCTAAAGAAGAGTATGTTTAGATACTGGTTTTTAAGTGTTTGTATATACATCCCATATTTCATAGAACTTAAATTAAAACAGTTAATTTTAACTACATATTTTATAGAATCCCACAACTTTTTAATTATACATTTCATCAACTTTTATCAAATTTTACTATAAATCTGATTTTAATCTCTACCAAACAAGGACATTATAGTTAAAATTTCGTTCAAATCACTTTTTGTCCATGCATTTTATAAGACCCTCTAATAATATCTATTTACCCGTGTTTATAAAACACCTTGGGGAGAATATAGATGTCGAGCATCACACGGTTTAACAGCAAATCTTTTGGATTGATCAAGTTAATCTTTCTTTAATTGGCTGAGTCACACTTATGTGTCACCGTTCAAAGTTATCCTTTCTGTTTTGTGTATTATTAATAATTACTCCACCCAATTGGTGGTTTGTTTTAAAAAATTGGAAAATTCATCACTCACTATTTATATGTATGTTTACGCATGTATTTGTTACGATTTTTTTTTTTTTTGCCCTTTTGGTTCAGATTAAAATTTTAATTAAAATTAATTAATTTTAGTTATATATTTTATGGGACTCACAATTTTTCGACCTCACGCGTCATCAATTTTTATCAAAAGATTTTAATCTAAAGAAAACAAGGACTATATAATTTTATTAATACATGAGGGTTCATACTCCATCCAATTAGTGGTTTAATTCTGAGAAGCTTGGGTTGTTTGATGACTCCAACGATTCAAATTCATTTATGGAGTAGGAGATTGTTGTGATCACATGTTGACGATTCTTGTGAAGACTCGTATCAAACCCAACATTGATATTGGAGTCTCTCATCGAGTACTACACAACATTGAGATTGGAGTCTCTTCCCACATCGAGTATTCGTATAGCGGTATGTTATTCCTATTAGTAATGTTGACCTTTAAGATGGTATTCAAGTCGTATTATCGTTTTGACCCGAAACAGCCCAAGTCACTCTACACATCGGCAAAGACTATGTAAAATGTGTACACTTTTCTTTTCTTTTTTTATCGGTAAATGTGTAATATATTGATTAAAAAAACATGTACAGATACACCAGACATACCCTGGCAATAAAAAATCAAGTGCATATGCAAGTATACTAAGTATACTCAGGCAACCAAAGATCAGGTGCATATACAAGTACACCGGGCATACCCGGCAAACAAAAAGAACATGTGTGTAAACAAAAAGATCTAGCAATCTAAGGCCATAGACTCAAAAGGAATTAAAACATACAGATACAAAGAGAACATAACTTTGTATACATGTGATTTAATTCGTCTAACAATGCTATCAGCCTGCAGAGTAAGGTCCTCAAAGATCTTCTTGTTCCGAGCCGTTCATAAATGTTAAACAGTGCAGCAAGAGCAATCTTCTTAGCTTTACTATGCCAAGCATTCCCGAACCTCCTTTTTAATCCACTTTAATGCACTAGGGATAGTAGACATAAAGCGTCTAATGCCAAGCCATGCACGGATCTTCTCCCACTGTCTTCTTTCTATTTCGCAGTTCATTTAAGGATGTTGCTATTCACGACAAATTCTGACATGATTATCTACCATGTAACACACCAATAGTCATTGATAGGAAAGGATCTAAAGAAGAGTATGTTTAGATACTGGTTTTTAAGTGTTTGTATTTACATCCCATATTTCATAGAACTTAAATTAAAGTTAACAGATGATTTTAACTACATATTTTATGAAAGGGAAGTGCTACATGTACATAATTATTTACATAATGGATTCCATAATTACACGTGGCACTGGATCCAATTTTTAATTCAAATCTCACACTTGGACATCAACAATCGGATGATTGCCACATCACATTATAGACATCATTATGTGCAATAATTATGTACAAGTAGAATTTTCCTTTATGAAATCCCACAACTTTTTAATTATACATTTCATCAACTTTTATCAAATTTTACTATAAATCTGATTTTAATCTCTACCAAACAAAGACATTATAGTTAAAATTTTGTTCAAATCACTTTTTGTCCATGCATTTTATAAGACCCTCTAATAATATCTATTTACCCGTGTTTATAAAACACCTTGGGGAGAATATATATGTCTCTCCACTAGAGCATCACACGGTTTAACAGCAAATCTTTTGGATTGATCAAGTTAATCTTTCTTTAATTGGCTGAGTCACACTTACGTGTCACCGTTCAAAGTTGTCCTTTATGTTTTGTGTATTATTATTAACTACTCCACCCAATTGGTGGTTTGTTTTAAAAAATTGGAAAATTCATCATTCACTATTTATATGTATGTTTACGCATGGATTTCTTACGATTTTTTTTGCCCTTTTGGTTCAGATTAAAATTTTAATTAAAATTAATTAATTTTAGTTATATATTTTATGGGACTCACAATTTTTCAACCTCACGCGTCATCAATTTTTATCAAAAGATTTTAATCTAAAGAAAACAAGGACTATATAATTTTATTAATACATGAGGGTTCGGATTAGCATGAAAATATAAAAGGGAGACGGGAGGTACTAATAGTTTTTAGCTTGTTTGTGGTCAAGACTTAGACATGTCTGAAAATAAGTTGAATTTATATTTGAAAACGTATTTTGTCAAACATAATATTCAAAATTACTTTTTATACTCTCAAAATTTAATATTTTATGTGAAAAATTGGTGCTTCTCAAAACACTCTAAAAAGAGTGCTACTTTTGTTAATTAAGGTTTCGGCTCATTTGGGAAACTCTGCCTAATTGGCACTTAACTATTGGATACATGATACTCATTTGGATTGTGCTAGTTGAGACCTGTTTTGAATCATTGGAGTAAACCAACGGCTGAGATCATCCTTTGGGATGTGACCGTCCAATTAATCCAAAAGTCTCGTGACTTTTGGGGTCAACGTCTCTCTCTGGTTCTTCGGGTTTTTCCTTTTTTGAATCTGTAAAATCATTTTCTTAACGTATAGTTTCTGCGATCTGGTTATAAAGTTTATGTTTTGGGTTAATGATCAGGCCTGAAATAGTCGTTGATCTTGTACTGTAAAACTCTCAAATGTTTGGTTGATTTCGTGCGTGTGTTTCATGAGATCCTTAGATCGTTGACTGAAATTGTGGGTTCTGAGTGATTCTTGATTTACCCTTGCTCTCTTGGAAGATCGATTGTGCCATAGTGGAACGGGCTGTCCCTGAGCCCCCCAGATTAGACCTATTCACGGCTGAACTCGGTCGACAACTTGATGTTCTTGTGTTATTTTCTGTTTTTCATTTGTGTTGTCATTTTTTACTACAAGTTTATTTCATAAATCAACCGAAATTCTTCACATTTTATATATAAAAAAAGTCTTAAACTACTTTCAAAAAATGTAATTTATATGCACGATCCAATCATTATGATGATTTACTGTCCCAAACATCTGCCTTAACCCCAGACCCCAAAATAATGAAAAGAGAAATAAATTGAGGAGGAAGAGAAGAAAGGAAAAAGGAGAAAAACATAGATTATACTCGTGATTATGAGCGTATAAGTGGCTTGGATAGTGCATCAAATACAAATCTTGTTTCATTCGCTTTTTAGCTCTTGGTCCTGGTTATATTTTCTACAATTTATCTATGTTTATTGAACGTCAAGTCAAATATGTACCTTCTAAATCTTTTTTTTTTTTTTTTTTGGGCTCTCAATATGAATAGAGAATACAGTCAGGTAGTTTGATTAAAAGAAATACATGGG